TCAGAAGCATCATGTTAGTAATCACAAAGTTAGTGATTGTAATGGTTGAATAAAGGGCCATCAACAATCTGTTAACTCAGGCACAACACAAGATGGTAAAGTGTTCGGTGCTTCAATTACATATTAGCAGCTGTTAACATATTAGCACAGTCAACATCTAAGAGTGTCACGCCATCTGGAAATTTCAATGAGACAATATGGCAAATGAAAGGTACTTTACTCCTGTAGACTATATATAAATGGACACAGCTAACCCACTAGCCGCTGCTTTCTAAATAGGAAGTGAGCATGGGGGCACTTCCTGCTCCATCGACTCTGGCTCCAATTGACTTACATTAAAAAATTCACCCCTTTCTTTGTATCTGCTGCCGTGAGCCTCGTCATTTTGGTCTTAAAATATTTGTATTAACCCGCTCTACATGATCCTTGTGTTTTTATTTAGCTATTTTGTCTGTTAATAAATTCCTATTCCTAATTATTATTATCCAAATTCGCTCCTATAACTGCCTCGTGAGCATCATTGACTTCCTTATTCCACGTCTTTATACAGTCTATCGTTACTCTCTAAACTTACATTTTGAAAGCAACTTTTTCAAGCGGTGTTATAAAAAAGCTCCGAAATGATTCACAGTATAATTTCTTGGGCTTTGTATTAGCTATAGCGGCACATTTTGTGTCGAGTGAAAGTACACCGCATGATTGTACTGGGAAGTTTTCATAATAATATTGTCAAACAGCAGGGAAGCGTTCTGTTCTGTTCTTGGCTAAAGGGTTAGGGTTAGGTTCTATATTACAAAATGAACCCCGGTGAGCTTTTAGTCATGTTGGACTCTTGTTACGTCCTCAAAAACATATCTGGAGTTGTGTTCTTTCACACATGTTTGAGTAATCTTATATTATTAGTCTGTTTACATCTCCAAAGCTCAAAATGCTCTGTTCCACCTTGCGATGTCCTGAATAGTAGTTTTCAGTTAACAGCTACTAGGGGTATAACGGTACATGTATTTGTGCCGAACTTTTTTGGTACGGGACGTTCAGTTCGGTGCAGAGTGTGTTTACATCCTGCATGTGCAGGTACAGGAAAGCCTCGGCTCTTTAATTATTGACAAGGGAACTCGTCCGTGATTGGGGTGGCACTGTTTCCAGCTGCGCTTTATAGTTAGGGCGGTTGCCTTGAGAACAGTTGCCCCCTGCCTTGACTACATCCCTCCGAACCACGGGAATCCTCGCAAAACTATGATGCGCCGTGGTCTTCACTTTCGCCTTTCATCGGCATGGGATCCACGGAAAACACTGTGGACAAGTTAGATTTTCTGGCCAAAAATATAAAGATTGAGTAAAACTTCACCCTGACACTGTTAGTTCTGTGCTTTACTTTTTGAAAAGTTTCTTTTTACTGTTTACAAGGAATTTACTTTTTGTAATATTTCATACATTTGTTGCTTATTTACTAGTATTACCAAGCAGCAATTTGCATTTATTTTATTTTCCGTTTTATATAATGTTAATACGCATTGTTGGTTTAATAAACACACAAATAAACAACAAGCAAATGGTTTTGCATTTTGTTCCCATACTGTACCTAAAATGAACCAAACCATGACCTCATAACCGAGCTATGTACCGGACCATGATTTTTGTGTACCGTTACACCCCTAACAGTCGCCCTTCACCTTTAGTTCAGTAGAGATTGGCAATTCCAGGGCTGAAATCATCAAAATGATTCTAGTGAAGTTGCATGGAGTTTACAAACACTGTGGAGCACTTCCTGTATTACCACATGACATCCCAAGGTGGAACAGTGTGTTTTCCATTTGAGAGAACCCATCGTAATTTGCAGTATTTGTGTGTTAAACATATGAATGATACAAAACTCCTGATATGTTTTTGATAAGGAAATAACATTACAGCATAAATGAGAAAATAGTGCAATATGAGCCCTTTAAGTCATTGTGTGTTAAGGGGATGAAAACTAGCCAAAGTGCTGTTACCTCAAATTCACTTAGAAGTAAAAGTAATCGCAAGAAAACTTCGCAGGAGTTAATCATAATATATTGTCTGCTCAAAGGCCCTTCAAATTTAACTGTAATTGTATTCTAATTGCGCGGTCATTATTTGTGGTTGAGCTGTGGTTTCACTGGACTGTGCTGTCGACCTTATGTAATAAAATCTAATGGAACGCTATAAATGTTAATTAGTGCCTGGGTCATTTGTCAAGTCTGTCTCTTGTCAAAGTAAACTTTTCCCTAGTTTTCCACTTTCCAGAATGGGCACAGCCTGTTTTTGTCACAGAGTAAGTTTCAAAAGCACACAATCACCAAAATCAAGCAAGAATAAAGGGCTCTCTACAGGGGGCCACTCTATCCACCACAAACAAATATGACAGAGAAAAGTTACACAAAAATCCACTGAGTAGTTCAAAGAAAGCTCAACGCGCTTAATGGATTTTAGAGGACAAATCAACTCCCAACAACTAGAACAAAGACTGCGTTTATCAGCGACAGTAATAACAGGCAGAGGAATTATACGCCCCCTTCACACCCACAGTGTTACTGCAGCTCACAAATCTCCTCTGATGTTTTTCGCTTTGGCTGATTAACTCTACTTTTCCCTTTTCCCTAATCAGAAATGTGTGATAAAACAGGCTCCGAGCAGCTCTGCCTGTAAAGTAGCTATTAGGATTATCAAGTATTGAAAATCAAACACTAGATACTCATTGGACCAAGTATCAATATTAAAGGTGCACTGCGCAATTTCTCTGGTGCAGGGTCCATTATATTTCCACAGAGATGTTATTGCTTTGTCTAGAATGTTCCACAGTATAATTAAACCTGCCACGAGGGAGACAAGCAGGTTACAGCACTACGCTACATTACAGTTTAGATCTGTGAAGAGTCGCCTCTATTCACAGAAGGACTTAATGGAATTTTCGGACTAAAAGGGGCACTTAAAATCCTTTAATTTTCTCAAACCAAAATTGCACCTTATGTATTAATTCTGATTGTGCGTGCTGACCTCGAACCGATTTTATGTGGTTACATGGCGCTCAAAAATCAGAGAATGTTTTAGTACGACTTTGGTAAACTACGAAGCCGTACTGCTTGATGGATTGTCAGAGCATTATGGCTACTGTAATCAGGAGCCTTGTGGAATCGTGTCCTTTAGTCTGACAGAAGATGACCACATCAGCAAACAAGGAGTGAGCTATTTTTTCCAGCACTTATACTTTATGCAAATTAGCCATGAGGTTTTAAGTTTCGTTTATGTAAAGCGTAAACAAATGTGCACAAAGCTGCATTAAACACATTATTACTCAATCTTTAATAATAATGCATCAGTTTTGTATAGCACTTTTTTGGACATTCAAAGACGCTTTACAGAGCATTATTCATTCACTCCATACCCAGTGGTGGTAAGATAGTACTGTAGCCACAGCTGCCCTGGGGCGGACTGACGGAAGCGAGGTTGCCAATCTGCGCCATCGGCCCCTTCAACCACCACCATCACTCACACACACACCACTTTCATACTAGGCAATGAGGGTGAAGTGCCTTGCCTAAGGACACAACAACAGTTTATTTGAGTCCTCTTCATAGCAAATAAAAAAGAAACTTAAATTATCCACACACTTTCACATTCATAATACACATTCACTAAGACAGGGAGGCAACGGCGGGCGAATTACGACACAATCTGCCAATGGATCGTGAATGCCTGGGTTAAGGATGAGTCTCAATTGTTGTCAGTTTGTTTCGCTTAATGCGCCTTATAATCTGGTGCACCTTATGTATGAAAATAGATGAGAGAATTCAACATTATTGATATTGCAGTTTATAATCCGGTGCACCTTTTAGTCCAAAAAATACGGTATTATATTTTTGAACAATAGAAACCCCTGTAATAAGTAAGTGCTGTATGGATATGTTTAATGTCATACCATGGAACATTCCAGGCAAAGCAATAGCATCTCCATGGAGACATAAATGAATGTTTCCTTAATAGAATGGTCTTGAGTTGTATCAGAACAAGTGTAAGAGCACATAGACTATTATATGCCCATGGCCCACTATGGAACCTATGTGCACGACTGAGGGATTATACAATAATGAGACCTCATGGGAATATAAAAGAAAATTCTATGATTTAATGTTGAAAATCACATTCTATTGTCTAAAGAATGATGTTTTTTAATTGCTGTTGTATCAGAATGTGTATGAGTATCAAGTCTGTTCCTTAGTATCAAAATCAAGTTTGAAATTTCATGACACTAGTAGAAATAGCATGACATTTTTCAGATTGTTAACTATATTTTTTAACTGGGTGCGCAGTGTCAGAATGGTTCTGACTGACTGCTTGCCTTTTCAAAGTGGACTTTTACAATAAAAAGAAAATAATTACTCTACAATATTAAATTTTTATTATTGAAAAAGTAACATATTTTCTTTTTGTCGTTTGCAAATTTTGCATGCAAAATTTTTCCAAAATGTTGTTGGGTATGTTCTTGTTTCTTTATGTTGTGTCACTGAAATTAGCATTTTTGTAATTTGGATATGAACGCTCTTCCAAAACAAATCATATTGTGTTATTAAAATGATGCAAATCCTGTCTCATGTGTTCTGTGTAATTTGTTATTCCACACACTTATTTAAAATGTGAACTATTAAAAATGACTTTGCAAACGTTTTAACTTTTTATGACCTTCCATATAACTTTAATGAGAGAAAAATATTCTCAATCATACTGTATACAACGCATGCCTGTTTTACATCTCTGCCTCGCTATAAAATATATTGGTTTCACATCTCGCCTAGTTATTGCTCTCATCCAGCTGGGGCCCGATTTCTCATGTATTTATTATTTCTTTGTTTATTAGAGCAGGTTTAATGGGATTCTGATCTGAGGAGCAGAGAGCAAATGCTAAACCTCCCTCTGTGTCTGTGTTTGTGTGTGTGTGTGCGTCTGTGTTTGTGTGTCTATGTGTGTCTGTGTGTGTGCTTTAGGTCCTGTGGGCGGAGCAGCAAGTCGTGAAAATTCGAAAGAAGAGGGATGTGTTTGAAAACCCCTCAGACCCAGACTTCCCCAAGCAGTGGTATCTGGTATGTGCTCCACTCTTTTTACAATTGATGTCTTATTTAAACACACTGTTCCTGATTTTGTCTTATTTAAATTATCTTTATACTTGATATTTACTGTCTTAAAATGGGAAAAACAGAACTAATTAACTATTAATTTTAAACATTTTGAGGTGGCCCACAGTTATTGCTCACTTAAAGGTGCATTGTGTTGTCCGTTAAATGCTTTTCTCTAGGGAGATGTTATTGTTTTGCCTGGAATATTTTGCAGTATAGCATTAAATCTTTCCATCTTCATGGAGACCAAACCAGACCAAGTTACAGATCAGATCTGTGGAGAAGAGACCCCTTCTCAGAGTCAGAATCCCTGTTTTTCTAGGTGTTTTTAAGATATAAAACCAGCTGTAACTGAATAAAGTAAAGTAAGGCAGAGCTGTTAAATGTCACACATTGGAATATTCCAGGCAAAGCAATGGCGTATCCATAGAAACAAGCGGGTGACGACCCTCCACCAGAAAAGTTACACAATTCCCCTCTAACTTATGCATTCTGATCACCTTAATTATTCACCACGATGAGTTTATAAGCACTTTTCACATCAGAGACTGGTGTAAAGTTTTGTTGTATCTGTAAAGCAATTATTTATTTATTTTTTTCTGCAGTGAGCTACCAGTATAAAACGAAAATGTCAGAGAGCTACCAATTTCAGCAGTCGCAAGGAAACTGAGTAAATATAAGAGCCACGCAAGCCTTAGATAGGGAAGAGTTAGATGCTAATAAAACATAAACCATTATCAATTTATCGGTGCACCAAGAAATTATACATTTACAAAGGTAAATCATATTTTAATTATTATCCGCAGTACATAGAATTCAGAAATCCCTTGGTGAGCTACTTGAAAGAAGGTGGAGAGTTACGGGTTTGAGATCCCTACTGTAAAGCTAACAACAACAACTAGCATGCTAACACACACTTCCTGATTATCGGACAATAAAATGACAGTACAGACTTCAAGAGCTGCTTATATAATATATTTGTACTTGGGCAAGACAAACTTTCCCAAATACATGAGGCAAAAAAACAGGTACACAACCTTAAAGGTGCACTGTGCAACTTTTCTGGTGGAGTATGGTATTAATTTTGGAGACAAGCGGACAATACCACCAAACCAAGTTATAAGCAAGGTCTGTGGAGAGGTGAGCCAATTTACAGAAAGAATTTGTGTTATTCAAGGTATAAAAACACCCACAGTAAGTGAAATACTCGTAAATGCTGAAGATAAATATATGTAATGCCGTACTGTGGAACATTCCTGGAGACGAGCAGGAAACACCCACCATCAGAAAAGTTGCGCATTGCACCTTTAACTACGCGCCGTGAATCCTTGGTATTAAAATTTAATCACATCAGCTCTGAAGAACTCTCATTTAACGTAATAAGTATGATGGAGCTTAATTGCCTCATTTAAAATCTTCTTGTTCTTATAAGCTGTGTAATGTATGCAGTATCTTTTTGAATTGATTCCTTTAGAGATTTCCAGGGGGAGCACAAATGAATATAAAGTTGTTCATGATTCAAGATACAATTACCGCATATTTGCACAATAGCGCTTCTGCCAGACCATTTTTAGACAATTATAACTTCAAGTTGTGTTGCCCAACTTTTCTGGTGAAGTGTGCACCACCTGCTTGTCCGCGTGAAGATGTTATTGGTTTACTTGGAATGTTCCATGGTATGACATTAAACATTTCCATCTAGGATTTATTCATTACAGGAGTTTCTATTGCTCAAAAATACATGAATTCCTTTAGTGAATAAGGGCGACTCTCCACAGATCTGAATTGTAATGTAGCGCAGTGCTGTAACCTGCTTCTCTCCCTTGTGGGTGTATGCTAGATTTAAAGATGCACTGTGTAACATTTCTAGTCTAGGGTCCGCCACCTGTTTGTCTCAATACAATACAGTTCAGACCTGTGGAGAGTAGGGTTGGGCAGTAATACGGTATTACGGTATCCCGCAGTATCACAAAGTAGCAACTGTATCAGTTTTATTACCATCATTTAAAAAAAACTGCAGCGCATAAGGACCTAATATAATATTTATTTATACATTTATATTAGTGCTGTCATGCGATTAAAAAAATTGAGAGATTAATTAATTATGATCTGTAATTAATTAATCTAATTAATCTCATTTTAATCTCACCTAAAAATTGCTGAGAAAAGCCTTCAATTTGAGGTATTTTCATTTAAATTCATTATTACTTTATTGTGGCAGATCAAAAGACTGATATAGAACAAAAAAAGTGACTTTATAAAGTAATTTATTGTTTAACAAATCTCTCCAAATTGGCTGTTGAGCCCAAGTCTCCATGAATAAGAAACTGTTTGCTGTAAAGTAGCAAAGACTAGGAAATCTGAACATAATAACTTTTGTCTACTTAAAGATAATAAAAAGTCCAGTCTTTCCTTAACCATATTAAAAATATTATTGATGGAGAAATGCTTTATATATGACATCACTGGTTTTAGTCCTTGTTTTAGTCCTGGTTTAGACCTGCTTTAGTCCTAGTTTAGTCCTGGACTGGATTAATCCTGTTTTAGTCCTGGTTTTAGTTCTGGTTTAGTCCTGGTTTATTCCTGGTTTAGACCTGGTTTTAGTTCTGGTTTTAGTTCTGTTTTTAGTTCTGGTTTAGTCCTGGTTTAGTCCTGGTTTAGTCCTGGCTTAGACCTGGTTTTAGTTCTGGTTTAGTCCTGGTTTTAGTCTTGGTGTTAGTTCTGGTTTAGAGGCTCACAGGAGGAAGCGCGGTTTACGCAGCGTACGCGAGAAAACATGATCCACACGCGGTGCACGGGAGCACGTCGGTGTCCGCGCAGTGTCAATGGAAGGGAATGAGATTAACGCGATTAAAAAACATAACGCGAACGCGCTAAATATGACTGTAATTAATTAATCGCAATTAAAGCGATAATTTGACACCCCAATTTATATATTTAATTCCTTTATACCTAAAGCTGTTTGCACAAATGCATGCGTTGTTGTATTTTCAATTTAATGCTATCATGATTTAAAACTAATAGTATCTATATGTTTCTCTTAACTGCGTGCGGAGATGATGTTTGATTAGTTTCGTTCCGTTGTCATGTGACCGCTCATAAGGGAGACAAGATGGCAAGCGAGTTGGTCTCCCCCCAGAAAAACTACTACTTCTGCAATTTGGCAGCATTTTGGCTTCAGGCACACATTTGTTAACATTTTACAGAAACCAAACTTAAAACCATGTGGCTCATTTTCATAAACTATAAAGCGCTGACAAAAAAAAACACCTCTTTTCTTATGCGCTGATGTCGGACTGAAGGACACGACTCAGTGGAATATGAATGTTCTTTCTGTGATAGAGGATGTGCGGCTGACGGTGAGTCTGTTATTGCCTGTATCGTGTTGAAGATTGTTCATGTGAAACTTTTCAGAGATTATAAATCTGCAGGTCATACGCACAGACTGTTTAGCGGTGCAGCTTCTTCTTCTAGTTTACCGAAGTCGTACTAAAACATTTTGGTAATACGGTAATACCATATACCCCGGTAAACTCCTGAGAAGGTTTAACGGTATCAAAATTTGGACATTCCCCAACACTAGTGGAGAGGCGCCCCTATTCACTGAAGAAATTGGAAATGTTTAAAGTCATACCACGGACTATTCCATGGAAAGCAACAACATTTCCATAGAGAGAAGCAGGTAGCAGTCCTTCCACCAGAAAAGTTACGCCGTGTACTTTTATATCCTTCTATCCAGTCTCTCTGATGTGTTTCAGTTTCAATAAGCTCCATTCATTCATTCACCCACACAGCCAATGCAGCCATGAGGAGTAATTATTTCTCATCTTGGTTTGTTGAACAGTGGACTACACCAAAGGTCCTTGTGTACACTCTCTGTTGTCGATAACTGCATTAGCGCTGACATTTTTCAATTTCTTTCTACAGTGTAATTATTTTTATTAAACCTTGAAGGCTTTAAATCCAACCAAAGCCGCTTTAGGCAGTGTTCGCTCACTTTAGCCTTGTGAGGTACAAATGTGTTTATTATCCAAATTAGTTCACTTTTTAATCCTGTTAAAGGGTCTATATTACATAAAATTGACTCTTGTGAGCTTTAAGTCATGTTATAATGTTGTTACCCCATTAAAACATACCTGGAGTTGTAGGGATCAGAAAATAGCCTAACACGAGCCCTTTAAATCTGATCTTTCCCCTTTCCCCTTTCTTCTTCACGATCTTTTTTCATTGTACGGCAAACCAGATTAGACAGTGTCACCTGAGCGACAGAGAAAATGGCCGCCCTTTTTCTTTGTTTGCCAATTCTAATCTGCTTCTACGTGATTTATTAAGTCTCCTCTGCCTTTCCTTTAAGCTCGTGTGTTACATGGATTACATTTATGGATTACTGACAACAGTGATCATCCCACTGCCATTCAGTATTAAACCACTAATCTTCTAGTGTCATTCCTTTTGCATCTATGTGTTCAAAATAAAATATACCTCAAAGCCAATGGAGTTTTGCCAATGAAGTACAATTTGTGCTAATTGTTCAGACCAAAATGAGTTTCAAATAGCTTCACTCAGGAATATATTTTCAGTTTGTCACCAGTGACTTCTCCTTTTGTTTGATTTTTCTAACTTTGTGTTGGTTAAATCAATTTAGTGGAGTCCTGTGAGGCGACCGCCGCTGTGATTTTGGGTTCTGCAAAAAGAAATTAAATGGGAAAAATTACAATTTCAGTGCAATTCTAGCTTATGATAAAAAATACAGTCTAGCACAGAAGTAGCTAATCCTAGACAATAGTCCTATAGACTTTTAGGCTTCTTCAGACTGTGGGGCTTAATGCTCAATTTGGATTTTTTTGTGAAATCCGTTTTTTGTTTTTTTTTTTGCAAGGTTGTTCACATTTCCAATTACATGCAACTTTATGTGATCTCCAGTGTGAACTTTAAACGCCCCAAAAGTATCCCGCATGCGCATTTGAAGTTACGACACCATCACACGCAACGAGCATGCTCAGTGTTTACAGAAGTCGCCTAAACCTGCTGATTTTAAAGTTGCTGTCATACTGGAGCCAGAACATGTACAGCTTATTTGTTTTAAGGAGGAGATTGAGAAAGAGAAGGACGAGGTTTTTGGCCGTGGCGTTTTCTGGGGCAGTGGCAACAACGTCCGTAGAAAGAAACGTGTGAGTGCGGAGTCGCGGCCAAGAGCGGTGGGATTGCTCTGTGCTTCACTGCTTCACTCACACGGAGTTCAGACACAGTTTTCGTATGACGAGAAGAATGTTTGTGTACATTTGTGAGCACCTACTTGACGTGTAGCTGGGATAAATGCGACCTAGCTGTTCAGACTGAAGTCGCATGTCAAAAGATTGGATATGTATCGATTTTAGGATCAAATAGCCAAGAGGCCTGGGTCACATTTAAAAAAAATCTCATTTGTGTCATTCAGACTGTCATTAAAAGATCAGATAAAGGTCACAAGGGGTGAAAAAATCGGATTTGGGTCACTTCAGGCTGCAGTCTGAACATAGCCTTAGGGATGTACCACAGAGTCCTAATATCTAAGTTTATAATAATATTGTGAGACATTTCATACAGGCTTAGTGGACGTACAGAGTATTACATAAAGCTGCTTTGTGTAACTTTTCTGGTGGAGGGTCCATTAAATGCTTTTCTTGGCAGAGATGTTATTGCTTTGACTGGAATGTTTCACAATATGGTATTAAACCTTTCCTATCTTCATGGACACCGACCCAGACCAAGTTACAGGTCAGATTTGTGAAGAGGCAATTCCTCTCAGAGTCAGAATGCCTTTTTCTACAGCTATTTTTGAGTTGTAAAGCTACCTGTAAAAAAAAAAAAAAAAAAAAAGTAAGGTACAGCTGTTTAATGTCATACTGTGGAACATTCAAGGTAGAGCGATCACATATTCAAGCAGGTGACGGACCCCCAACCAGTGCATCCTCACTGTCCCTTAAAATACATCAAAACTCCATGTCGCATTAAATGCCCAGATGGACACCAGCACCAGAGCCAAATAAACAACAGAAAAAGAGAGAGCCCAAAATACATGAAACTCTTGCTTTGAAATGTGCATCTCACTGGAGAGGGGCCCTCACAAGTACTGCTCTGTTGAAGAGGAAGTGCTCTTTGCCTAGATTTCTTTTTTTTCCCCTCTCTCTCTTTGACTGCAGTAACTTTTGGAGCCAGAGGAAGCATTTAAGTCTAATGCTTTTTTTTTTTTTTTTTTTACTGTTTACTGATATGTTGTCTTTCTAACCAGATTGCAGGTCATAGTTTTCCAAGTTAAGTCACATCACTGCGATAATTGAGTTCTACACTGCTGACAATCTACAGAAAAAAATAAAGGATACTGGCTGAACACCTGGGTACCTCAGTAATATCCTAATGTCAGCTCAGGTGGTTCCAGCTTTGCTCTTCCGCTCAACTTTTGACTTTTCAAAGTGCCTCTGTGACTCACGGAGCAGCGGAACTCAACCATCTTACTCAATCTTACTCAGCACCATGCTCTTGGAATAACTGAACTAAAAATATCTGAAATTGGTGTCACTTGACAAGTTCAAGAAATGTATAAAAAGTGTAGTAAATTAGAATTTCTCTCTTGTGCTCTTTCTGTGTGCTACTGTGTTCATCTTAGATTGATTGATTTTGAAGTTCAATGGGACTTGGTGGTGAAAAAAAGGCAAGCGTATACAGGAAACTTAACTGCTGCTTTGTGCTTGTGTGCAGTCTGACCCAGCGCACCAGGACCTGAATACCAAAGAGGCCTGGGCTCAGGGCTACACAGGCAGGGGCGTGGTGGTGACCATCCTGGACGATGGCATCGAGAAGGACCACCCAGACCTCATCACCAACTATGTAAGTCAAGATTTGGCACAGACGAGCAGGATGAGCACAACAATTTGAACTTGAGTCATTTTCAAATTTCATATACGTGTATATTCATAATAATAATGTTTTTTTTGGGTTTTTTTATGTCCTTTGAAGACGCTCAAGGACACCTTAAAATGAAAACAATATTCATCTTAATTTCATTTATACTTAAAATATATAAAGCATTAATTAAAAGAACCAAACATAATATGAAGAGCTACAGTTTTACTTTTGCCTCTACTTAAAGATGACGAAATGACGAAAAATGTCAGATTTCAAGCTCACAAATGTTGTTTTTTAAGTTAGAAAATCTTCCCCCGAGCACTGATCTAAAATTAACCCTTGAGTCCAAAGTTAAATAAAGTAATTCATTTTGTGTTTCTTCCAGGACCCTGAGGCGAGTTATGATGTTAATGATGGAGACGCTGACCCTCAGCCTCGGTACACACAGAGAAACGAGAACAGGTAATTGGCCGATGAATGCTGCTTCTGAAGATTAGCCCATTACAGACAAGATCCTGTTTTAGCAGTCAGAGCACAACATTTCTTATAATTGCCTCAAATTAAGCTTTCAAACTCGGGGGAGGAACACGCTCCTCTGTACGCTTCAGACATGCTCAAGTGTCATTTTTTTCTGAGAGAGAAACTTTATTTGCCACACAATGAAAATACCCATTAGGCATGTCTAAACCATGGCCCAGGGGCCAAATGAGGCCCTCTGAGCCACTTTTGTTGGTTGTCAAGCCTCCTGAATTTGCCCAAGTGATCATAAGTGGTATGACAGGGACAGTGGCTCTTTCAAAGCTTTGTTAAATTGAACCATCGGAGTGACTCACTGTATTGACTGCCAGTTTTTGCGCCTTTGCTTTAATAGAGGACACCCATGTAATAGAACAACAATAGAACAAAAATAACCAGAATGAGGAGTTCGTGTTTATAGTTCTCTGCAGCTCAGTGAATTCTAATTGGAATCAAGTCTCTTATGACACCATCTTTTGTGATTATCCTTGATTACTTTCTCTGGTAGAAAAGCACTGGGCAAATCGACAAAACAAGCCCTATCAAACACTGGCAGAGCTCAAAAAGATACTATATTACCTTCTTACCTCACCAAAAATACACCTGGGTGTTGTTTTTTTTCATTCACACAGAGGAATTGAGTAATCCTTTATGTTTGTCTACATCCCCAAAGCTCAAAATGGTTCATTCCATCTTGTGATATCATACAATGGTAGTTCTCAAGTTACAGGTACTTTTTACCTTTAGTTCAGTAGAAATTGGCAATTCCAGGGTTGAAATTTTCCTTTAAAAACACTTAGCCTAGATAGATCAGAAAACAGCATAATATTACCCTTTAAAAATATCTTCTTTGACCTTTACTCACTGGATACACATTCTTCCTTTCCGTCAGTAAAAATGCATTCTGTAATTGGGTCGAAGAATCAGCCAGATATTTGTTCTATTTATTCACATTGTATTGTTTTCTTGCCATTGTTGATATATTTATTTCTCGAAGGGCCAAGTCTGCTTTGTTTGTGCAGCTCTGGTCCCTTTGTCCTCTCCCCGCAGTAACACATGAGAAGCCCCAGCCTGCACATTCGTATTTGAAATGCACATTCGTATTTCTCTCAAATCTCCCTCCTTCTCTGGGACGCCTGCCAAGTCTTTTTGTACTTTTTAGTTTGTTTGTTATTCTAGTTTATTTCGGCTTTGAACTGTCATACCCACATGGATTTGGATACTGGGAGGAGTGAAGAGGCAAAGGAGCTTTACACATTTCGGTGAGATGGAAAGAATGGTTTCAACATGCATATTCAGTGTTTCTCATTAATACAAGCGTCTATGACCCACCATTAGGGCTGTGCCAAAATTCAAAAGATCAATTTTTCCTCTCTTTCTCTCCTCTGGTGAAAAAACAACTGCTTATAGAGCCCATATTACACTATTTTCTGATCTGTTATAGTGTTGTTTCCTCATCACAAACATACTTGAAGTTGTGTTTTGTTTCATTCACACGTTTAACACACACACCCTGTATATTTAGGCTGTTTTCTAGTCTCTTCATCAGCCAGTTTCACTTTGTGAAAACCATCTGACCTCACAGCATTAAAATTTGTTCACTCGACGGTAGGCGGGTACTTCTTTATTTAACCAATCGCTGCTATTTGGTCGCAACGTATGTAATGCGCCAAATCCTGTAGGAAGAAGGGCAGTAACAGCTTTCCCCTTGATAAAATTCACTAAATATTCTTTCTTCCAGATTTAAATCGATCTCGGGAATCGTTGCCATCACAGAATGTGTGGCTTTGTCTACATCCTTCTTGACCGCTTTGTTTACTGTTGTGCTTTTCCACAAAGACAAGCGCTTGAGTTTGACGTCATGGTTTTACAGCTCTTCTCTGATTTGCCAGTACGCCGTCTACAACTTCCGAGGTTCTTGCAAACAACCTAGTGTATTCCAATTCCTGACCTAGTCGCTGGAGAGAAATGTGTTCCTGTGTTCCTCTCTCAAACAGAAAACACTCTTTTCCTCTTTGTGATGTCATGTGGCAATAAAGGACACTAAACCCCGTAAACCTTCAATCATTTGGATGATTTCAGTCCTGGAATTGCCAGTGTCTACTGAAAGTAAGGTTAAAAGGTAGACATTAACTTGAAAACTACAGCTGCATGACATCTCAATGTGGAACAGAACATTTTGGTCTTTTGAAATGTAGACAAACAACAAATAGTTACTTAAACGTTTGTGAATGAAACAAAACACAACTCCAGATATGTTTTTGTCATTCCAACATGACTTAAAGCTCAAAAGACTCAATTTAGCTTAATATAAGACCTTTAAAATGAAATCTAGTGAGTAAGTGACATTTATACTTCACAAATTATCCATAGTTTTAAAATCTCTGGGAAACACTGGACATTGTTAGTCCTACCCTGCTGTTTGAAGGTGTTTCCTCTCTCTCCCCTTTTGAATATTGATGAATCAATTCCCAGTATTTTTATTTTGGAGTGTGGTTTCAGAGTGTGGTTGGCATCAGCAGTTTTTTGAACACAAGCCTTGTTTCAAGTCCTTGATGTGAAGCGGTGCAGAGCGACCCAAAGCCCTCTCTGTCACAGCAAAGAAGATCCCACTCTGTCCCAGTGATAGAACAGACCTCTATAGGGCTGGATCACTGCCCTTCTTCTATGGAACGCCATCACAGCAGAGAATGCATTAACTCAAGAGCAAGAGCACGTTTGAGCGCATGCGTCATTCAATATGTTTACATCCTCAGAGAAAATCTAATTATTGCCAGGGAAACACAATACATGTGAAACAAATACATTTTTCAGATCAATACAAAATATCTAAAAATTAAATTATGTTTGGTCACTAAGGCAGTCATTATAGTGTTTATCACAAAACCATTTCCAGGTGGAGCGCTGTAATCTCTTGTTTAAAAATAATTGGATTATTGTGTCAAAGTATAAAGGCTTTTTTTTTTTTTTTTTTTAAAGGCTGTTCTTTATAGTTCAGTGTAGGGATACTGATTCCAGGTGCCAGTACCTGTACTCATCAATGGGCTCCCGATACCTGAAGCCAATACCAACAACCACTGTAACTGTGCTGTGTCTTATTTGACGCTCACAACTCAACTTTTTGCAGTGACTCTGAGCGGAAGTCACCACAAAGAAGCACATGAACTGTGACTGTCACATGAACTATACAGATATTTAGGATCCTTAAAAATTGTTATTGTTCAGAGAAAATCAGTGCAGTATTTGTATTTATGATAATTGCATTTCACATTTATCCATTATTGGGACTAGGACTGAAAAAGTTTGAAATTACAAATATTAAACCATCTGTTTCCCTATTATTGAGCCCACTAGGGTTGTCATACCATACCAAGAGCAGAAACAGACAGAAATATAGATATAACACCACGTGGTAATGTAAAAAGTTTTATTTCATTTTATAGACCTTTATTTAACCAGCATAGTCCTACTGAGATAAAGAATTTCTTTTCCAGGTGAGCTGTAGCCCCACAGGGGATTCTATTGAACATGATTTTGGTGGTAGGGGAAACGGGAGGAAACCTACAGAGCAAACTCCAAACAAAAAGACCCTGCACTGCCCCAGAATCAATCTTAGGACCTTCTTGCTGTGAGGCGAGAGCTCTAACGGCTTTGCCACTGTGCCGCCCAAAGTATTATTTAATTCTGAAAGTCACATTCTTTTGTTTAAATAAAGAGTGCAAGTATCTGTATCAGTGTTGAGTCTGTTCTTTAGTATTGAAATTGAGTTTGAAATGTTAGTATCTTGACAGCGGTAAACCATACAGGAAAGTCAAGATTGTCATTAGCTTTTACAGCAACTCTGCAATCTCCAGATCACTCGGGAGCAGCCTTAATGTATTTAGCAGAGCATCGGCTGTGCTCTTTGCTGTATATGTGCATAGCCATAGTAGACCAATCTCATTTTGTAACCGAGGAAACCACAATCTATAAAACGAGATTACTGCTGCTTCCATGTTATCAGAGCAAAAACCTATTACCAAACCACAACAAGTGCCCCCCCATCCCACACACAGGTCAGTGATATTACCTCAGCTCGTCTATAAATCATGAGGTCAAAGCCGTGGCGATGACCTGGGAGCAAATTTGACGCTAAATAATTCAGTCTTTACATCGAGATTATATAAATGTATTCATGGCGGCAATTTGTGAAGGAGACTTGGAGGTGGCCATTTTGCACAGAAAGGGCTCTTCATCTGTCCCACTGACATCCCAGGCTCATTTTAATCAAGGCATTCAGCATGTCCCTTCCTCTCATGCTGAAGATTGGTATTCTCTCGTTGAAGAGGCTAAGAGGCCAAGTGAGAAATCCATTCGTGCTCAATCAAGGGAGATTGTCTGTTTTTTTATTTTTATTTTTTTCCCCTGTTTGGCTCTAACACTCATTTTCATGTTTGTCAGGTTAAGATGGATGTTGTGCATCGGAAGGGTGCAAAGGACAGAGCAGATTGATTTCAGATCCTTTGCAGAGGTCTAAAAGAGACAAAACCATCCCTCATATTTGTGTGTCTTGGAGAAATAATGATGGCAACTAGTGTGTCTCTTAAGGCTTAAACATTATGATTAAGTGTCTCTTATTGGTAGCCATGTTATTTTTATTTTTTAAGTATTACTTTGTTCAGTGTGGTAAATAATTATCAGTTTTACATCAGTGGTTGTTTGTGGAAAAGAAGTTAAGAAGAAAAGTTGAAAAATAGAGGAAGTAGCACAGAGTTTTGAAAAGGAATAGTCTGGCTTCAACACAGAAAACTCCATCCAAAATGTGCCAATGTGCATGCAGGGAAGGTATTTGTCATACAGATTAAACAATGATTTAACAAAAATAGCAGTCCAGAATATCTGCATACAGTACACATATATATATTTTGTAATACAGATTGATATCAGTCTGGTCCTCATGCCCTTCT